TGACACCAGCCCGAGCACCACCTCAGTCCCCACGAAAAGTGCCTCCGGGGGTACCTGGCCCTAAAAAACCAGCCAAGCATGATGGCAATTTAGCAATGCATATGTATATAGTCAGAGTCGTCAGAGTCATTGAAAAAGCCAACTTACCAAAGGGGGACCCCACCTGTGGTACTATCTCAAGCACAAGTTTCCGGAAGTTGCACGCGCTTTATCCTATCAGTAAATGGATTTGTCTCTTTCTTTCCAGGAACCGCAAAATCCGTTGGTTTAAAGTTTAAAAACATTTGGAAATTTTAATTTTGAATTGTGTGGTATAAGCATCGTTCTCTCCCGTCATAAACCCATATGAGCAGTGTTAAAACCCTGTGTTGTCCCTGTGTAATCGCTGGTTAATAGGGATCCCCACAGTGGATTATGACAATACCCTCGGTCGTTAGGTATAGTACACCCCCCTTACAATCATCAACCAAAAGGGGTCTTGAACACTGCTCATCTGTCGTCGGTTCTATCTCTTTCCAATCCTAAAAATTGCCATTTCATTCTATGAGGAAACCTGGCCCAAATCCATGCTCCACCCTGCCTGAAGAGGATGCTTTCTCCCCTTTCTTATCCTCACTTGATTCAAGTGAGCCGGACTCTGAACCTCGGACACTGGAAGTTAGCAGCAGAACTGTGGGGATTCCACCAGCATGAGGGTCACGTCGCCAAGAAATATTGGGGTCTCACCATCGGAAGTGTGATTTGAACATCACAAATTGGGATTTCACCAGCGACAACAAACAATTTAGCCAGCAAAAAGCCGGGATTTCGCCAGCACAAAGGAGGAGATGAAGCAACAAAAAAGGTGGCGCTCAGGGTCAAGTCTTTGGGTTCCGGTTTGTTGGATCCTTTTTGGAGTGGACTGTCAAGCATAGGGCAAATATCAGATTATCAGGAAAAATGCAGCTATTGGTGAAATGTTTTTGCACTCACAATGATGAAATGATTTCAAGTACGAAAACTGATTTCCAGGGCCAAAACGCATGTTGACCCAAATGACAAGCCATTGACATGGTCCCCCGATTCTGAATCTTTCGCGTTGCTGCATCTACTTATAGTCACCATGGCTGGTAGCTTCAGGTGCATGTGCATCTTGCCATTCCTATTCCAAGCAACAGCGTGTTGCTACAGGGTTTCGAACAGATTTCCCTGGTAGACATAACCTGCTGAAGATGCTAAGAAGTATTGAAAGTGTTACGTTTAACTCCCGGGAAAGGTGAAAAATTGTAATGACGGCTGTCCTATGTTTCTCTCTTGGCTCGTGTCTTTCCCACCGAACAATACAACATCCACAAAGTGTAATACTTTAGCCCGAAAGGCCCTGGGAAAAGATCGAACACTGACACTAGATCATGCAATGCGTCTTCATGTAAGGGTCAACGATATGTAGGTGATTGCATGCATGTGAAAATATCTATATACATACACGTGTGCATATATGTATATAGCTGTACGTATACGTAAACACATGTATGTGCACATGTGCATCAGCAAACCTGGACATATGAGTAGTCTCAAAAACCAACTTACAAAGTGCTTCGAATATTTCCGCCAGTGTTGGCCATATGAACCCACACATTTGTATGTGTAGATTAAATATCATATGTATTAAATATAAATATTGTGATATCATCTTGTATGGAAAAAGAAATATGATATATGTATATATATATATATATCATATATATATATATATATCAGATATTTATATATACATATATCAAAACACGAATATATCTATATTATATACTATAATATATATATATAAGGAATCATGTTTATTACATTTATTAAATGTAAAAAAAATGTTATATATATATATTTGTTTATATTTGATACATACATACTACATATATTGTATATTAAAAAAGTTTTTGTATTAGAAAATTGTAGATACATGTATAATATTAAACAAGGATATTTCAAATATTCTACTTGAACCATAAATTACATATTATATATATATTGATATGTGTATATATGTGTGTGCGTGCATTTTATTTAAAAAAATGCATGTTAAACATATATTTAATAAATGGCTTGCATTTCAAACTAAATATACATAATATTTAACATATCAAATATTAAAACATATACATGCAAACAATTTAAAAATATATGTTATAAAAAAGAAAACATTATATAAATATATATCTTGAAAAACAATATGTATATATATATATGATAATCATTACACAAAATCGATTATACATTTTTGAATAAATTCAAAAAATATTTCAAATTGTATCTATGAAATAAAAGGTATTGTATCTGTATAAGCATTATATCTAGTAAAAATACTAATTAGATCTTAATATATATGTAAATATGAAATAATTTCCTTATGATATTTATTAAGTTTTACAAGTATATGAGCATTGTATATTTAAAAAAAAAAAGCTTATATATTAGAAAAAATATTGATAATGGAATATTATATAAATATATGTTTTTGTTATTTTAATCTATGATATTTTAAACATATTATAAAATGATATACATTACATGAAACTTAAAAATTGCATATCATATATAAATTTAAAGTATTTTATTTATTAGATGGATGAAAAAAGATATGATATGCAATATAGATTCAATACCCAATATATTATACTGAAATAATATATACATAAAAACGAATATATATATATCTCTCTCTCTCTTAAATCTGAATGTTACATATATTGCATATATGTGTTATAGTGACAAAATATCTGTATTATTTATATATCTAATATATAGCAAATAAATGAAATATAGTATATATATATATATTCTATATCTTATATACGAATATATAAGACGCTATTTATTGAATACCAGTAGTTCCCGCACCAGGCGGGGCGGAAGTTTCCTTAGGGTTATGCTATAAGACTTTCTTCATCTATAGAACTTGTATGCGCCGTGCGCCAGCCAGGCCCGTGCGTGCGTGCCTTTGTGCGGCAGGGTTGCACTGTTCCAAAGGTCGCGCTTGACGCTCCACACTTCACACTGCACTCTTCACACTTCACACTTCACATATCGCACTTACACTTCACACTCCAAACTTCATCTCATCTCATCTCTTCTCACCTCATCTCAGCTCTTCTCATCTCATCTCACCTCTTCTCTTCTCATATGTCATCTAAGTTCTTCTCAGCTATTTTCATTTCATCTGAGCAACACTCAACCTTTCTCATCTCATCGAAGCTTGCCTCAACTTATCTCAGCTCTTCTGCGCGTCACAGGGCCTTTACTGTCAGAGAGACTGCTGCGCGCAGACAGATTTTGCACAGAGAAGACTTTGCACACTGAAGTTTGGGACGCTGAAGTTTGGGACGGTTCTGTATACGAGAAGCTTTTACACACAGCATTCTTTTGCACAGAGAAGCTTTTACACAGAGAAACTTTTACACACAGAAGCTGTTACACACAGAACAGAACCTTTTACGTACCAGTTTGCGCAAACATTTCCCAGTACTACTTTGTACTACGAAGCTTGGACAAAGAACTTCCCGGTACTGCTTCCTACTAAAAAGCTTGGTGACAAAATACTTCCCAGTACCACTTTGTAGTACAAAGCTTGCACAATGACTTTCCGGTACTACTTTGTACTACAAGACTTGCACAAAGCACTTCCCAGTAGTACTTTGTACTACAAGGCTTTCACAAAGTACTTCCCAGTACTACTTTGTACTGCACAACTGCCACAAAGCACTTCCCAGTACAACTTTGCACTGCAAAGCTTGCACAAAGTACTTCCCAGTACTACTTTGTGCTGCAAGACTTGCACAAACTACTTGTTACTGCAAAGCTTCGACGAAATACTTCCCAGTACTTCTTTGCACTACAAACCTTGCACAATGACTTCCCAATTCTACTTTGCACTACAAACCCCACGCCAGCACTACTTTGTACTACACAGGCTGCACAAGGACTTCTCAGTACTACTTTGTACTACCAAGCTTGCACAAAACACTTCCCAGCACTACTTTGTGCTACAAACTTCGCACCGGCACTACTTTGTACTACACAGATTCCACAAGCACTTCCTGGTATTAATTTGTACCACAAGACTTGCGCAAAGCACTTGCCAGTACTACTTTGCACTACGAAGTTTGCACAAAGCACTTCCAAGTACTACTTTGTACTAGAAAGCTCGCAAAAATACTACTTGGCACTACAAAGCTTGCACAAAGTACTTCCCAGTACCACTTGGTACTACAAAGCTTTCACAATGTACTTCCCAGTACTAGTTTGTACCACAAAGCTTGCGCAAATTATATACTTCCCGGTGCTGCTTCTTGTACTATTGTTGGATCCTGGTTAGTGTAGGGACCCCCCCAAACAGTTTCAGGCTTCAATTTAAAGTGATGATTTTAGCGACCAGGTACTGCATAAAATTGGATCAATTGATATCAATTGATTTCAAATTACTTTCAATTGATTTCAGTTGATTTTCAGTTGATTTCAATTGATTTTCAATTGATTTCAATTGATTTTCAATTGGTTTCACCTGATTTTCAACTGATTGCGATTGATTTCAATTACTTTCAATTTACTTTCAATTTGTTTCAAGTGATTTTCAATTGGCTTCAATTGATTTCAATTTACTTTCAATTGATTTCAATTACTTTCAATTGATTTTCAATTGATTTCAATTGATTTTCACTTGATTTCAATTGATTTCAATTTTCTTTCAGTTGATTTCAATTGATTCCAATTGATGTTCAATTGATTTCAATTGATCTTCAAATGATTTCAATTGATTTCAATTTACTTTCAGTTTACTTTCAATTGATTTCAAGCTCAGCCGTACTTGAGTGATTTGTAGCTTAGTACTGAGCAAGGCTCAATGCTTTTCACCTTAGCCCTGAGCTAGGCTCACCTTGAGCTGGGCTCAGGGATTTTTTGGCTTGCCTCAGCATTAGCTATCAGATCAAAAGGCAGTGTCAGGAAAGAGCATCAGCCTGCATGTGGTGGAATGTGGTATTCTTCGAGGTTCTAGAGGAAAGCTAAGTAGTTAATTAAGTGTCAATAGCTACTCCAAGGACAGGGAAAAAGGATATGATTATGTAAATTCTCACATCAAGAAAAAAGACTGGACACAATAGAGGACCCCCACAATAAACATACTATTGAAGATCAGGGTTGCTCATGGGCTACCTGTTTGAAAAATTGTTTGGGCGCTATGTTTTAATAACCGTTTAATGAGGAATTTGATGTTTGGTGAAAATAGTGCATCTGATGATCCTAGATGAAAACTAAGTAATTTACAAAAGCTATTCCAAAGAAGGGGATAAAGGTAATGATGAACATTTTCACACCAGAAAAAAACTGGACACAATAGAGGGCCACCACAACAAACACATTAGTTATTGAAGATCTATCTTGCTGACGGGTCACAAAATTGAAAAATGGTTTCCTCAGACAACATCTGGACACAATAGAGGACTACCACAACAAACAAATATTCATCAGTTAATTAATTCATTAATTAATTAATTATTTCTAAAAATGCAAAAAAAAACGCTGAAAAGATTGAAAGCATGTTGAAAAAACTGAAAATTTCCTGACAAAATGCATCAGAAAAAAAACTTGACACAATACCGACCCCCCAAAACT